GTGCGCGCATGCACAGTGCAGGTAAGGGGGTAGTTGCGCACACATGCACAGGGGGGGGGCAGGGCTTATTGCGTTGTGGGTGCCGGCACGCGCTCACTTTCAGCACACCACAACAAAAAGGTTCGCCATCATGTCACACGGCGTACGGGCTGGCTGGGGAATTCTGGGAGTTGAAATCCACCCATTTGAAGTTGCTATGGTTGAGAAACACTGCTTTGAAACCACTTGAAAAAACTGACCCTTCTGACAGAGCAACATGTTTTAAATTTTGGCTGCTTTCATTGCCTCTGTTTTCTATCCCGGAGTTCCTTAACCTTTTCGGCTTTAGGGACTGGCGGGGAGGGGGGAGAGAGAGGCGATGGTTCCATGTGAGCAGCTGGCAAGTGTGTGCATACACACAGCTCAGTTTTCACAAGTGCCCACCGCTCACACAAATGGAGCATACCTGTACATGCTCGCCTGCTGCTCGCACAAATGGGGATGTGTATGTGCACTCACCGCCATTTCAACAGCCCGGTTGCTAATAACTCAGTGCCTACCAGTGGGCCACGGGCCAGAGATTACGTTTAAGCTAAATCAGTGGTTCTCAACCTGTGTTCGTGGACTTGTTGCAGGCCGTGATGTCATCATTAAAGGTCTGCGAAGATTTGAAGAAATGTTATGATTTAAATCTTAAGTTGTGGTCATGACCTGTGGCCACAAGGTATTTAAGGAAGGTCCGTGGTGAAGAAAAGGTTGAGAACCACAAGGTCAACATTGAACCATGTTTTGCTGTTGCAACCATTATCACTTCGCAGCTTGCCAACGAACCAGGGGGGAGGGAAGGATGAGATGGAATGTATGCTCCAGACATCAAGAAGCCGAGCCGTGAGAGCCAAGGACACTTCAGCAGGGGTCTGCCAAAGTCAAAGCCTTTTTCTCATAGCAATACAAAGAGACTCCATTGGACAATGTGACCTGCTCTAAAAAGGGAGAGGGATAATCTTATATTTTGATTATGGGGCTTTGTGCAGGAATTAGCTAGAGCTGGTTTTGCCTTCATCGGTGCCGAATTGATGTACTCAATAAAGTTTTGTCTTCTGAGGTTGGATTGTCTCGATCGTCCTTGCTTCGGTTGGGTCCATCCGTCGGAACATTGATACACTGGGCTACATTATTCAGATTTTATTTTCATCATACTACGGTAGCTTTCTGTAAGCTGCTGTCTGGAAGATGAGGACGACGACATATACTCAACATTTACTAAATTGTATTTACTAAACGTTCGGATGTTCGTGTTTCTCTCTCTCTAGTGCATTTCCTGCGGACCTAGGAACCGAGGCCACTGCTTCGGCCCCAACATCTGTTGCGGAGAAGAGCTCGGTTGCTTCTTTGGCACAGCAGAAACCTTGCGCTGCCAAGAAGAAAATTTTCTCCCGACCCCTTGCGAGTCTGGAAGGAAACCATGCGGGGGCAACGGAGGAATGTGTGCTGCTTCCGGCATCTGCTGCAATCACGGTGAGCACACGCTAACCTTCTTCAGGAACAATATATATATATATATAGGTAGTGTTGGAAGAAATAGCCTTCGGGGTTCAGTTCCAAGTAGGGGAAAAAGACACTGGAATCATGGAAGTTGCTGGGAAAGATGGTTGAATGGTGGACAGGATCACATGCCTTGGAGCTCTTGGGCGAAGAGAAAGGGAAGAGATAGAATAGAATAGAATAGAATAGAATAGAATAGAATAGAATAGAATAGAATAGAATAGAATAGAATAGAATAGAATAGAAAATAGAGAATAGAATTGAATAAAATAGAACAAAATAAAATAGAATAGAATTATTTATTGGCCAAGTGTGATTGGACACACAAGGAATTTGTCTTTGGTGCAAATGCTCTCAGTGTGCATAAAAGAGAAGATACATTCGTCAAGAGTCAAGAATCATCAGGTCCAACACTTAATAAGAGTCGTAGGGTACAATAAGCCATCAAATCATACTAGGAAACAGTCAATATAAATCGTAAGGATACAAGTGACAAAGTTACTATCATACAGTCACAGGTGGGAGGGAATGGGTGATAAGGAGTGATGAGAAGATTAATAGTAATAATAGTGCAGACTTTGTAAATAGTTAGACAGTTTTGAGGGAATTATTTGTTTACATAATTATTTGTTCAGATGCTTAGAGTCCCTGGGTTTTATGCCCTCTCTGGGATTTGAACTTCCTGGGGCACAGGGAGAATATCCTGATTGGTTGCTATCAGAGGTCATAGCTAGCTTTGTAGGCTGTCTATGTGCTAAGTTTGGTTGAAACGTGGTGGTAGGGGGGTGCAATGAAGGGCAATTAAATGGCTGTGTAGTGGGGGTGAGGGGGCTGAGTTTCTGCCTCTCCGAGTTTCTACTTCTCTTTTAGGGGAAATATTCTGCCTTTTTAATATATCCTAAAATATTTCATTTTCCTAGGAGAGGGGTGGGTTTTAACTTCCAACAGTCGTTTTAAACTTATGTCCATCATCGAGCCCCGAATTTTGACCGTACGTCATGACAGTTTTTAAGTGGACCATTAAGCCAACACGCCGTCTGATTTTATGACCTGTTTTGCAGCAGTCATTCAGTGAACCCAGCAGGCCCGTTGCTATTGGTAGCTTTCACAGGAAACCAGAAGCAAATGCCGGTTTCTGGCAAACGGTCAATCGTGGTTGTGTGACTGCAGGACACTGCGAGTGGCTGTAAATGGGGTGCAGTGGCCAAGCAGTGGTTCCTTTAACAACTGTGGCAAGAAAAGCCGTGAAAGGGGGCGAAACTCATTTAACAACTGACTCTCTTAGCAAGTTTGGACAATTGCGCCCATATGCTGAAGATTCTCTGTAGCCAAGAATTACCCTATAGGCTATTTTTTTTTCTGTTCAAGTTTTCATTTCAATTTCAGCTCCCAGAGGATGGTAAGGGTCATCCCAGGTTGCTCTATATCCTCTAAAAAACAGTGTCATTTTTTACAAGATATTAATAGACCCTACAGGGGAAAAATGCCTACTAACAGATCAGAAGCAAGAGGTGGGATTCAGCCGGTTCGGACCGGTTCTACAGAACTGGTAGCGAAAACTGTGAGTAGTTCGGAGAACCGGCCAATCCCGCCTCTGACTGGCCCCGCCAACCCAATCTCTTCTCTGCCTCCCATTGAGTCCCAGCTGATTGGCTGGGTCTCCTTTGGTTGCCCTGCACAGGAGAACAGAGCTGGAAAGCGGGTTAGTGGGGTGGGGGAGGGAAGGGGGATTGTGCAGTATCTTTCCCCTGCCACACCCACCAAGCCACGCTCACAGAACCGGTAGTAAAAAAATTTGAATCCCACCACTTGGAAGGAACTTTTAGAGATCTTCAGATAATTTACCAATGGTTATGTTGGGACAGGCCTGCGTTTGATCCATTGACACTGGGATATTTATTTTATTTTATTTTTAATTTGAATGTTTAGGGAAGAGGCCATTTCTGAAGGCATAAATGCCATTTACATTTGGTTGTCTTTATGGATTCTGCAAATTGCATTTGGCTACAGTCAAAATGAGGGAATGGACAATGAATCTAATCTGTTTTAAACACCTGTCAAGTCAGTGCTTTTCAACCTGAATAGAATAACAGAGTTGGAAGGGAACTTGGAGGTCTTCTACTCCAACCCCCGTGTACCATTTCAGATAGGTAGCTATCCAGTCTTTCCTTAAAAACCTCCAGTGGTGAAGCATCCACAATGTCTGAAGGCAAATCCTTCCACTGATATATTTAATTATAATATAATAATAATAATAATTCGCGCTGTTAGGAAATTCCTCCCTAGTTCTAGGTTGCTTCTCTCCTTGATTAGTTTCCACCCATTGCTTCTTGTCCTGCCTTCAGGGGCTTTGTGGAATAGCTTGACTCCCTCTTCTTTGGGGAAGAACCACAAATATGGGAAGCCTGCTATCATGTCCCCCCAGTCCTTCTTTTCATTAAACAAGACATACCCAATTCCTGCAGCCGTTCTTCATATATTTTAGCCTCCAGTTCCCTAACCATCTTTGGCTTTATTATATTTGGCTTTACCTTTATTAGGTTTCCTTGATTCAATATCTAACCTATCTCTGCTCTGGCCTAATATCTAACCTTGCAAGGAAGATGACCTTGATACAGATAAGCAGAAGGGGAGAAACATTTTTTTCATGTCTAGAATGAGATAATCAGACATTTGGGAGAAACTCCCTCCCTGGTTTACTAGAGTATAAGAAGTGGGAGAAAGTTCTGCATCAAATTTGCAAAGAGTTTGTGTTCTGTGAAATAGATTTCCTTATCTGGTTTACCTATTGGGCAGGGAAAGTTATCTTCACTGTGGTCTAATATCTAATCTAAATTGTAATTTTACAGGTGCCAAAGATACAGCTAATACTAAATTAAATATTTCCACTTGAACTCTCTTGTTGGTATTAGCTTATTTACCATGACTTTTGTTTTTTGCTTTTCCAGACGGTTGCATGGTTGATTCCACATGTGATCAAGAATGAGAAAACTCAAGGAAGAACCCTGCAAAAACCATTTTAGATTATGAACTGGTAGATAATACCGAACTGATGCAAGAGATTGTTCTGAAATGTTTGCTAGAAGCCTGCAATTCATACATGTTATGCAAAATAAAAGTTGAACAGCCATTAAAATCCACAGTGTGTGTTCTCTTAGCTTTCCAATAATCAATAGAGTCCTTGAGGGTTGAATGAATGAATGAATGAATGAATGAATGAATGAATGAATGAATGAATTTATAGATGTAAGTTTAAGGGCCAATTAGGCTGGTAAGGAGTGAGAAAATGAAATGTATTAATTTTTTTTACTGGCTGGGTTTTCTCCAAATAACCCAGGCATAGCAGAAACATGTGTTAAAAATTCAGAACAATGAAAAATTAGGGCAATTTCAGTCATTCACACGTAGCCAGTGTTGGATGGAATAAGGTAACAAATATTTCAAAAGCTAAATTAGTTGCTTATTTGATAGCAAGAAGAAAGTGTTCCATACCTTAGGTTTGCAAGACCTACCTTTTGAATATGGGTAGTCCTTGATTAATGAGCACAACTAAATTTCCATTGCTAAGGGAGGCAGTTGCTAAGCAAATTGTGCTTCATTTTACCTTTTCTGTCACAGTTGTTAAGAAAATCATTGCAACTGTTAAGTGAACCATTGCAACTGTTAAGTGATTCATGCTGTTCTTAAGTGAATCTGGCCCCCGGACAGTTCAACTGTCAAATATACATGCTGATTATGGGAAAGGCAAGCATAGCTGGAGAATTCTGGGAGTTGAAGTCCACAAGTCTTAAAGTTACCAAGTTTGGGGACCTCTGAGCTAAAGGGTGGACATGACATTGTCTTCTATGCAACAGATGTCTTATCTTATTTTGCTTCTGGGCTTCGCCTTGGGCAGATGTCCCTATCTTATTTACTTGTTGCCTGACCCTGGGCGGATGTTCCTGTTTTCCAAGAAAATTGTAACAAGTCACCGTGTACTTTTAAGTGAATACACTTTGGGGTTTTAGCGTGGAGGTTTTAATCCAGGGGTCTCCAAACTTGACAGCTTTAAGACTTGTGGACTTAAACTCCCAGAATTCCTCCTCCAATCATGTTAGCTCAGGAATTCTGGGAGTTGAAGTCCACAAGTCTTAAAGCTGTCAAGTTTGAAGACCCTTGTATAGATGATGGATGGATGTGCAGGAAGTTAGCACCCACCCCTCTCATAGAAAAATGAAATATCCTAGGAAATATTAGAAAGGCAGAATATTCCCCCTAAAAAGAGTAAAGTAGAAACTCAGAGAGGCAGAAGCTCACCCCCACCTTCATTAATGAGTGGGCCATTAAGGCCTGGACCAGAATATTTTACATAACAAAGATCTCCAGGTAGAGTTATAATAGGAATTGCCCAAAGCCCTTTCATGACATCATCATCCAGCAAGGCTCAACCAAGCCTGGGACTCCGGAGTTGCCCCTGCGTGGCCCCATGGGAGTCTGACAACCAATCAGAATACAAGCTCAAATTCAAATCCCAACAGAGGGTATACAAGGGACTCGCAGCATCCCCGCCTTTCCTTCTTTTCCTTCATCTTGAAGCATGTGATCGTCCTTTTCACTTTAGAGCTCCTAGCCACGTGGTCCTGTCCAAACAGCCTCCATGTTTCCAGTGTCTTTTTCCCCACTTGGAACTGAACCCAGAAGGATAATTCTTCCAACAGATGGATGGATGGATGAGGAGACGATAGATAGACAGACACGAAGATAGATGATAGAATTCAGGCACCTTCAAACTTGGCAGCTTTAAGACTTGTGGACTTCAACTCCCAGAATTCCTCCTCCAGTCCTGTTAGCTCAGGAATTCTGGGAATTGAAGTCCACAAGTCTTAAACTTGCCAAGTTGGAAAACCCTTTGTTTTAATATGTAACAAAAGGAATATTCTAACTTAACAATACATAAAACACTGTTATAAAATAGTAACTTCTTATACTTTTCCTTCAATGGCACTGAAAAGAAGTCGCCCACGAGTCATGACTGTTTTTCACCCTGGTGACAGTTGCAGCATCCCCCGTGGTCAAGCGATCAAAATTGGGCAAACTGACTCATATTTATGACAGTTGCAGTGGGGGAGGTTTTTTTTGCATGTGGTCCCCTTTTGCGACCGTCTGACAAGCGCAGTCAATGGGAAAGCCAGATTCACTTAACGACCATGTCACTCATGTAACAACTGTCAGCGATTCCCTTAACAACAATGGCGGGAAATGTCGTAAAACAGGGCAAAATGGACTTAAGGCCTTGCTTAGCAACAGAAATGTAGGGTTCAGTTGTGGTCGTAGGTCGAGGACCACATGTCTTGGCCAGAAATCCTAGAAAGGCACTCCACTCCCAAACGGGGCAGGTTACTTCCGGGATGTGACGCTCTTCCGCCGCTCAACCGGAAGTTTCCCACATGTCCCATCATTCCTGGCGTAACTTTCGGTCTGAGGACGCGGAAAGGGCAGTGGGCGGAGCCTCTGCTCGCTCTCTTGCGGTCGCGGGGGGACTGCATTGCCCGGCGTCCCTGGAGCTACTTCCGGATCCGGTCCTGCACCTGCACTTCCCGTCCGATGCTGGCGGCGGGGCTGAGGGGCCTTCCCGGCCTGCTGGGCCGCGGCGCCCCGAGTCTGGTCCCCGCGCGAGGCCGCAAGACCCGCTTCGACCCTCCGGCCAAGTCCAAGGCGGACCGGATCAAGGTGCCTCCGCCCGTCGACCCGGCCGAGCTGCTGGTCATCCTCGAGCGCTTCGAGCAGTACCGGCGGGTGGTGAGCGCCCTCAGGTGAGGCCCTCGGGGACTGCCGAGCCCATCATCCCCAGCCGGGAAGGTCCTGGGGGGGGCAGGAAGAGGTCTTGGGGGCCTTTGAGGGTCTCCGGCCCCCTGAAGAGGAATCTCTCTCTCTCATTTCTCTATCATCTACCTGGGTCTGTCTGTCTACGCATCTCTATGATCATTTATCATCTATCCATCCATGTTTCTATCATTTGTCATCATATATTTATCTGTCTTGTCTGCCTATATATTATGTATCTGTGATCTATTTATATCTACCTACTTCTGTTATTTCTCTTATCATTTGTCATCTTCCACCCATCCATCCCATAATTCTAGCTCTTATTATTTTTCTATCATCTGTTTGTCTGTCTATATGTGTCTATAGCCATATCTATCCATTCATATCTACTTACCTACCTATATCTATCCATCTATCTATTATCTATCCATCTATATCCATTTATTATCTATCTATCCATCCATCCATCCATTATCTATCTATCTATCTATCTATCTATCTATCTATCTATCTGCCTATCTGCCTGCCTACCTACCTACCTACCTACCTACCTACCTATCTGAGATCTATTTCTCTCTCATTTATCCTACCACCCACCAGTCTTTCTATTATTTATCATCTGTCCATATCAAGGGTCTTCAAACTTGGCCACTTTAAAACTTGTGGACTTCAACTCCCAGAATTCCTCCTCCAGTCATGTTAGCTCCAGGAATTCTGGGAGTTGAAGTCCACAAGTCTTAAAAGTGACCAAGTTTGAAGACCCTTAGTCTATATCTATCATCTGTTTCTATGTCAATCTATCTCTATGATCCATCTATACCTATTTCTATTATTTCTCTATCATTGATCATCTACCATCCATCCATCATCTATCTCTCTTTTATTTTTCTATCATGTCTGTCTACCTATCTACCTACCTATCTATCTATCTACCTGTCTGTCTATCTCCTATCTACCTGTCTGTCTATCTACGTATCTACCTGTCTGTCTACCTACTTGTTTATCTACCTACCTGTCTGTCTACCTATCTACCTACCCACCATCTGCCTATATCCATCCACCCATTCCTAAATGAAATAGGCAGCTATATAAATTTGATGGATACATCCATCCATCCATCCTCTTACCTATATCTATTAAATGTATTCCTGGCCATCGTGCTCGAGTGACTTTGGGCAGCTTGCCATCATAACACAATATTATAAAAGAGGTAAACAGTAACATAATTCATTAAAGTAAAGAAATAGCCATGATGGTGAGGAGCAGCCAACAGAGTGGAAGTGGGATCTTTGCAATTACAGACAATTGGGATTGCACGGAGATTCCACGGAAGCTTCTCCCAGGTAGTAACCAGGCCCCACCCATCTTAACCATCAAGCCCACCTTATGCCAGGTTTTCTTATCTGCTGATATGTCCATCACTGAGCTCTGTTTAATGCGATCGTTGTTGGTGAAAGAGAGGCCAGGCTGTCTAGAAGAAATTCACCGCCCCGTCCGTCCCTTCCTCGTCTTTCAATAACATTGTACTCTTTTTTTTTTTTGTCCTCAACAACAATATTCTGAGTGAAGTTAAATGAAAGCGCTTAGGGGGTTGCTGAAAACCTCTCTTGTAGCTGGGGATGAAACCTGTTTAACATTCTATCCTGGGCTCTCTGCTAGACTGGAGATGAAGGAAGAAATACAGTTCAAAAGCTACGATCACAGGCATGGGGAAATGGCGAAGTTAAGGAAGAAAGCTCAGGAAGAGGAACATCAACGTCTCATGGCCTTGAATGATGCAGAAAACAAGCGTTTACTCGAGCGAAGGTAAAATCAGTGCACGCCTGCCTCATTCCACACGTTAGGCAGCATCAGGAGAAGTGATAGCTGTCAGCATTCCAGAAAACCTCCACTCCGAGGCAGACATCCTCTCCATGGTTCCTTTTATTAGAGTAGTGAACTGGCACATCTGGGAAATCCCGAATCTGAAAGTTCTGGCTTTCCTTGCAATAAGTAAAAAATTAGAAATCCACCCCCTGCACCCATCATGGCATCACATGCATGGCCAACCCAGGCTCCATTTTCAGCCACCCTGGCCTCCTCCACTCCTCTGCCAGCATAAGTGGAGCTCAAGAGGGCCGTGCATGGCGTCCCCAAGTTCTGCTTTTGCTGGCAGAGGCACCATGGGCCAGATCTAAGCGCTCCACAGGCCAGATCACTTCATCCAGGGGTTGGGCACCCCTGGATTAAGGTGTCTTCATTCCGGTTGCCATGATACAAAAATCAATGTTGAGACTCCGGAAAGAGTGCCGAGAAGAGCAACAAGGATGATTAGGGAACTGGAGGCCAAAACATACCAAGAAGGGTTGCTAGAATTGGGTATGCCTAGTTTAAGGAGAAAAAGGACCAGGGGTGACATGATAGCAGTCTTCCAATATTTGAGGGGCTGCCCCAAAGAAGAGGAGGGGGTCAAGGGTTGGAAGCTAACCAAGGAGAGAAGGAACTTAGAACTTAGGAGGAAATTCCTAACAGTGAGAAAAATCTATGGAGGTTCTCAGCCATCCAGGTCCCGGTTGTCCCAAAGATGCTTTTTTCAAGAGGCAACTGGGCTTCCTGGTTTTGCTTTGAAGAGGTTTCTCTTCTCATCCGAGAAGCTTCTTCAGCTCTGACTGGATGGTGGGGAATGGAAGGATTTCTACTCCTTGCAGACACAGCTGGTCATTTGCATCCTTTTAGAGATACGTTGAGGCCACTTGGAGGTTTATCTGTGTCCTCAGGGTCAGCTGAGTGGTGCAAATGGGTGTGGAGGCTCCTTGGAACTGTTGAAAGGAGGGTGTGTTGTAAACTGGAGAGAGACGATGTTGTATCCCTCCCTGTCTGTTCAGTTTGGACATAGGTGGCCTCTTTGAGCCCCTCTTTCCAACCAGCGGTCCCCTCTGTTCCAAATGGGGACTTTGCCATCTTCAAAAGGGCGGCCTGTGTCTTGTCTTGATGGGTTGATTCTAGGTTGTGCCCTGCTCTTCAAAGAAAGTCCAGTTACGTGTTAGACTGACAGTGAGAACAATTAATCGATGGAACACTTTGCCTTCCAGTACGGTGGAGGCTCTCAAAACTACGGTGGAGGTTCTCAAAACTAGATTGGGCCACCATTTGACTGGGATGGTATAAGGACTCCTTGCCTTGGGCAGGGGGTTGGACTAGAAGACCTCTAAGGTCCCTTCCGGTCCTAATAATCTATGATTCTGGCTTTTGATGAGAAAAGGAGAGGAGTAGATAGATAGATAGATAGATAGATAGATAGATAGATAGATAGATAGATAGAT